ATCAGTACGCACTATAACCCGATGGCTATGAAAATATTGTCGGAGACGCCGTGCCGTGTGGACTAGACCAAGTGCCACCTTTTCGAGAAGTTGGTATCTCCCTTCGAAATCTTGAAGCATTCGACTCACGAAATATATTGGCTTTTGTGAATCTTTTTCCTGCACCAAGACGGCGCTAATTGCCTCGTTGGAGACGCACAGATACACCACCATGTCTAGACTTGGATCAGGTTTGGAAAGTATTGGAGGCGAGTCGAGTCATTGCTTGAGTTTTTGAAATGCTTCCTCACACTCCGTCGTCCAACTGAACTTGGTGGCTTTCTTCAACAGTCCAATAATCGGCTTGGCTATTTCGGCTAGGCAGGGAAGGAACCGAGAGAGAAAGGTTAGCCGCCCGGACAAAACTTGAACTTCTTTGATGTTGTGCAGACTTCTCATGTCGATCACCGCCTGACATTTATCCGGATTGGCTTCAATACCTCTGGCTGACAGCATGAAGCCGAGGAATTTACCCCCAGCTATGCCAAAAACACATTTTTTAGGGTTTAGCCTCATGTCCTGTTTTCGGAGTTGTTTGAAAACTTCTGCAAGATCACTTTTATGAGTGCCGAGATCATTTGATTTGAAAACCATGTCGTCAACATAAACTTTAAGATTTTTTCCGACCTAATGCCTGAATATTTTGTCCATAAGTCGTTGATAAGTTACCCCTGCATTTTTTAAACCAAATGACATCACTCGATAGCAGTAGTTTGCCGAATCTGTGATAAAAGTTGTTTTCTCTTCGTCTTGTGGGTGCATCCGGATTTGATTATATCCCGAATACATCCAATAAGGTTAACAACTTATGCCCTGCTGCCCCATCGACCAATCGGTCGATGTTAGGTAATGGGTAGGCATCTTTTGGGCAGGCTTTGTTAAGGTTGGTGTAGTCCGTGCACATTCGCCATTTTCTGTTGGGTTTTTTGACCATGACTACATTTGCTAACCAGGTGGTATATTGCACTTCTCGAATGAAACGTGCTTGTAACAACTTAGCAACTTCCGATTCAACAACAACTTTCCTCGCTATTCCCATCTTCCTTTTTCGTTGTGCGACTAGTTTGGCTGCCGAGCAGATTGACAATCTATGGCACATAAAATTTGGGTCTATGCTTGGCATGTCTGACGGCGTCCAGGCGAACAGGTCTCTGTTCAAAGCAATTACTTTACCTAACTCAAGTCTCTCGATGTCCGACAAACCGATGCCGATGTAAGTGACTTGAGATGGTTGCGAGCCGATCTGTATAGGGATTTTTTCTTCTATCGGTTCTGCCCGTTCTTCATTCATTCTTAGGTCAAGATCGCATGGTGCAGCCGATTCCGAGGATGGAGGAGTAATCGCATAAACTCGTCTTGACTTTGCTTGTTTTTCTCCGATGGGGGGCACGTGTAGACTTGCAAAGTAACATTCCCGAGCTGCCTTCTGATCGGCGTGGATGGTGAGAATGTTTCCTTTATTTGACGGGAATTTCATGGCAAGATGTGGTGTTGACACGATGGCCCCTAAGGCATTCAGCAAAGGACGACCAAGTAGTATATTGTATGATGTGTTAGCTTGAACGACAATATATTTGACTTGGATATCTCGACACTCCTTTTCGTCGAAACAAAACCGAGTGGAGAGTTTAATGGACCCCTTGGTATTGACCCTCTCGCCTGCGAAGCCGACCAATGGTTCATTATAAGGAATCAACTCGTCCTCCGAAATGCCGAGTTGCTTGAATGTATTCCAATATAAAATATCAGCCGAACTACCTTGATCCACCAATGTTTTTTTCACAATGCAATTATGTATCTCCACACTGATGACCATAGGGTCATCTTGGATTGGGTCTATGCCTTGGAAATCTTCATCAGTAAAGGTGATGGAAGGCAGCCGCCGAACTGATCGATTCTCAACAGCACTAACTGACCTGACCACCCGTAGATGTCTCTTACGAGCCGAGGAAGTTGACCCTCCCCCCGCGAAACCTCCGGCGATTGTATTGATCACACGCTGATGCGATGGTTGAGGCTCATCCTTTCGATCTCTCGATCGGCTGCGCTCGCGGCGATGTCTATCTGATCTTTCATGTCGGTCTCGTTGAGATTGGTAATTGGGTTGCCGCCGAGATGAGTTTGGCCGATCTCTTAGGGCTGCGCATTCCTCCGTGGAATGTCCCCGATTGCGATGATACCTGCAAGATTTGTTAGTATCAGCTCGGGGAGGGGTTGACGCTCTTTTGGGGACTGCTAACACTTCGGATGCGAGAGCCTATTCAAGCACAGCGGCTCGGCTTGCATTGAGGGGGGTATAATGAGAGTATTTCGGACCTCGTGTGGGTCGCTCCCGAAGAGTTAAGTCCTTGCCTCGCCCTCTGAAAGATTGTTCTATTTGTTTTTCGGCTTTACCCACTGGTTCGGCCCGAGCTTGATTGCGGTATTCAGCCAGCTCTTCCATTTGCATATATTTATCAACTCTCCTTCGTAGGTCGTTCATGTTCGAAGGAGGTTTCTTGTAAATGCTATTGACAAATGGTCCAGGTTTTAAGGCCGTTGTGAGGTGATGGAGTGTTGCGGCTGGATTGAGGTCTCGGATCTCCAAGGCTGCCTTGTTGAACCGATCCATGAAAGTTCGAAGTGACTCCTTCTTGTCCTACCGAAGGCTGACCAGCGATAGAGACGTCAAGTTGTGAGGACGACTCGTTGCGAACTGGATGGTGAATTGAGACGACAAAGTGTTAAACGAGTCGATAGAGTTGGGAGGGAGCCGAGTGAACCAACTCAATGCCCTGCCTTTGAGAGATGTTGGAAAAATCCGGCACAAAGCAGCATCATCTGTGGTGCTCAACGTTACCTGCGTCAGAAAAACATCAAGATGTTCATCAAGATTTGTTGTACCGTCATACTTATCAATAGGCATGGATTTCCAGTTGTCCATCAGAGGGAGTTGCATAATGGAAGGGGTGAAGGGGTGTCGGTGCGATCCAACGGTTGCCAAGTCTATAGGACGACCAACTGTGGGTAGGGCCGAGGGGAACTTTTCGGGTGCTACCGCCGAGGCATGAGGGGCCGAGGTGTGGACTTCATGGGATTGATAGGACCATTGGGTTTGCGTGTTGGTAGTCTGAGTAGGCTTCCACGAAGGATCTTGATTTTTCAATGCCTCATTTTCGGCTCTCAAGGCCGAAAGCTCCTTTGCATCCTTCTCCCGTTGTTGCTTCATTATTGCCATCTCTTGCTTCAGTAGACGAACGGTCTCGGAGAGATCGGTTTCGTCTACAACCTCAACATGTTCTTTCTCTTCGGTCTGGTGGTCTTCTGCATTGGTTCTCCTTGTTATCTGCATTGCTCAGTTAATCTTCACAACTGTCTCAGTTCGACCCCACGGTGGGCGCCAAAATGTACTTGTCTGAAGGGCACACTAGTAATCTTCTCGTACTTTGAGGGCCGAACGAGAGCTCCGATCGAATATTCCGGTGAGAGGGAGGGCACCTGCAAAAGGCACTCCGACGCTCAAGTCAGGATAAGCACAAATATCGATAGTAATTAATGAACAATGACGTTACCTCGTGACATGAGCTATTTATACTGACATTTATGGACCCTGACTCCCTTGGGCCTTGTGGCAAGATTACCATATTAGGTAATACGCCTCTAATCGGCTTATTAGTGTGATTAACTCTTAACCCTTGATTAAAGGTAATCCTTAATCCTTGACTAGGGGTGATCTGTGTTTATGGAGCGTTCGATCAGTTGTCGGCTACCTGGTTCGGTCGCCCAGGTGCCGATCGGGTGTCGGTCACCTGGTGGCCGAATGATCTTACTAGTACACAATGAAAAAAAAGTGTAGGCGTAACTTAAAAGATAAAAGTATAAAATAACATCTGTGCCATCTTTGCTATCTTTATAAAATAAAACAAACAAACAAGTGGATAGTTTTAAACTTAATTTACGGAGATAAACTTTTTTGCCAAAATTTTTTTTTCTAATAAAAATTTAAATACTATCAAAAGCTTAACTTATAACATAAAATATGATATAACACTTCAATTTACGGGGTCAACATTTTTTTTTTACCAAAATATATATTTTTTCTAATGAAAATTAAAATACAATGATAAAAAGAATTTAGGCTTAACTTATAAGATAAAATATAATATAGCGCATACGGGATGAGAATTTATTTTAATAAAAACAAGTTGATAAATTTACAGTTAATTTAAGAGGATAAGTTTTTTTACCAAATTTTTTTTATTAAAATTAAAATATTATGAAGAAAAATTTTAGCTTAACTTTTAAGAAAAAATATTATATAACACACAAAGTTGAACATTTATTTATGAACATTTATTTTAATGAAAAAAATTGATAATTTTATACTTAATTTATGGGAACAAATTTTTTTTGTCTATTAAAAATTAAAATATTATGAAGAAAAAATTAGGTTTAACTAATAAGATATAATATAATTAACAGACGGAACAACATTTATTTCAAAAAATACAAGTTAATAATTTTATAGTTAATTTTCGGACAAACATTTTTTCCAAAAAAAATTCTAATAAGAATTAAAATTCTATTAAGAAAGTTTAGGCTTAACTTATAATATAGTTAATTTTTTTTAATAAAAATTAAAACACCTTTTTCAATTTATAAAGCATTGCACGTGTGATACTACATTGGAAACGTAGCAAGTGTAGACACGTGTACCATAAAAAGTTGCACTGTGTGCAACGCTCGCGCAGTGGCGCCACGATGGAAGAGTAACAGTGAAAGTCTGCGTCGAGCACACGCCAACCACGCATCACCCACACTCTTCCGGAAATACCCCTCAAACCCCCCACTCTCTCGCCTCCCCTCAACGGGGCAAAAGGTAATTTCCCCACTCCAAAAATTTCGATGGCGATGTAGTCCTCCTCGCTTGTCGCTATAAAACTAATTACCCTCACTCTCACTCTCTCACTCTCTCACTCACACACACACAGTAACACTAAGTTTCGATATGGCATCGGTTTCATTCAAGCGTAACGTTTTTGTTGTAACCGTGGTGATCCTCGTACTAGCGTCGACAACCTCGGCGGAAGAATGCGAGTCGAAATACGGTGGAAAGTGCCACGACAAGGCGAAGGCGCTGAAGCTAAAACTGGTGGCGATATCGAGCATATTGGTGACGAGCATGGTTGGGGTTTGTCTCCCCGTGTTCTCCCGTGCGGTTCCTGCGCTGCAACCGGACCGAGACCTCTTCGTCCTCGTTAAGGCCTTTGCCTCCGGTGTCATACTTGCCACCGGTTACATGCACGTCATGCCCGATTCCTTCCAAGATCTTACCTCCCAGTGCTTGCCCCAACGCCCCTGGCAGAACTTTCCCTTCACCACTTTCATCGCCATGCTCTCTGCGGTTCTCACTCTCATGATCGACTCCTTCTCCATTAGTTACTTCAAGAAGAACCTACCTCTTGCGCCTTCCCTCCACGCCGCCGAGACAAAGGAAGCCCACATGTTCGCCCATGCCCATGCCCATGCCCATGCCCATGCCCATGCCCATGGATTTGGACACCATGATGATGGTGCCGCCGTCAATGCGGAACAGTTGCTGCGCTACCGTGTGGTGGCTCAGGTGTTGTGTTTTTATATGTTTAGAAAATGTGCTTGCATTTGCATGTCTATGGAGTTGTTGGTTTAATTTGGTGAGAATGCGTGCAGGTGTTGGAGCTAGGGATTGTGGTGCACTCTGTGGTCATTGGTTTGTCAATGGGAGCTTCGGATAACCCATGCACCATTCGGCCTCTCATTGCTGCGCTTTGCTTCCATCAAATGTTTGAGGGGATGGGCTTAGGTGGTTGCATACTTCAGGTGAAACTTTCATTATTCTCTTAAATATGCATCTAGAACCTCAAATTTATCAATTCTTTAAATTTAAAATTATTATTTTTAGTTATTGTAATTTTTAAAAATCTTATTTTAATCTTTCAGTCACTAATAACATATTTAAAAGTGACAAATTAAGATAGTTATACAATATTAACGAGATTTAATATGATATTTTCACTATCAAAGACATCAGCAGATAAATTTTATGTAATAATTTTTAATAAATTTTTTAATAAAATTTGAATATAAACACTAAAATAAGATTTTTTTAAAATTATAAAGACTAAAAATAATAATTTTAAATTTGAGAGATCAAAAATAAATTTACTTTATTAAAATGATTAAAAACATATTTAAGTATATGCAACTGCATTAAATCTTGGGGCCAGCTATCCCATCTTTGAGGTGCCTCTAACGTAGCGAGGAGATTAGTCACTACTATCGACGCTAGATACTTCAGGGACGAAAAAAAAAAATATATATATATATATATATATTTAAGTCTTGATTGTTTGTTAGGGTTAATTTATTTTTTTTTATTTTTATATTTACATTTTTTCAATATTTTTATTCTTGGCGCTAATTTCTTTGCATGAAAATATTAATGACGTGATGTATTTATTGAGTGTTGTGTGTTTGTGGCAGGCTGAGTATGGAATGAAGGTGAAGGCCATTATGATATTCTTCTTCTCGGTGACGACGCCGTTTGGGATCGCGTTGGGGATTGGAGTGTCGAAAGTGTACAGTGACACGAGTCCAACGGCGCTTATTGTGGAAGGGGTTCTGAATGCAGTGTCTGCGGGGCTTCTGAACTACATGGCGCTTGTTGAGTTATTGGCTTCTGATTTTATGGGACCAAAGTTGCAGAGCAGAATGAAGCTCCAGGTTTTTGCCTACATCGCAGTTTTGCTAGGCGCAGGGGGCATGTCGGTGATGGCAATATGGGCATAGATGTAGAAACCCTAGTTCATCTTCTCCGAGGAAACAAAAGAAAAAATGGACACGTGGGTGTGTAAATGGTTTGGGGATGGTGTTTCAGTTATCTGGGTGTGTAAATAACTAAGTATCAACGATCTTTGTAGGGTAGGATCTCAATGCTAAGCTAATGGTTGAAACTCATTTTTGTATCCGGCTTTCACATTTATCTTGATGAGAATTTGCAAGAAAAAAAATTGTGATTGCATTGGATGAAAAATGGGTAGCGAGTTTATATCTGAAGGGTGTTTTTATGGTATGTTTTCAGACATTAATTACATGGTGCCTACTCGAGTAAACTCTGAATAATAAACTCGCATTGATCTTCATGTGCATTTGCAGACAAATGTTTTCGATGTTTTAATGGTTTCGGAAACAAACTTTTAATTTTTTTTAAAAGTAATATATATATATATATATATATATATATATATTGCCGAGCTCGAGCTCGGCATAACAGCGCAGGAAGACCTCAGACATGCGCTGGGAAGATCTCGGCCTAGACGAGATTCGCTATCTAATCAGATCATAACTGATCTCAGACCCAAGGCCCAACGAAACCCTAATTCACACCAAGGTACTTGCGTTACTTATACGAGACTCATACTCCCACAAACACTAACTTTGGCATCGGAGTCTCTTTTGCAGGTACCACCCCCATCTTGGAGCACAACCCGTACGAGTGAAAGAGGCTCACCGATCTTACTTGGCGGATCATCTCTACAGCAGATCTCCGATAAGAACATTTGGCGCCCACCGTGGGGCCGATCAAGACAGCTCTTATCGGCCACGCTTATTGTATTCACCCGAAGCAACGTACTTCAGTCCTCCCAGATACTATTTGTGAATCAACAATAGTATGCATTGCCTTCATTACATAGTATCCGCACTCATAGTTTCCTTTTTGCTTATGAGACTACAAAAAGAATGTAAAAACTAATTTTAGTAGTAATGGTAATTCAAAACAAAATACCTTTGAAAAAATATCATTACTAAAATAACTTACTTTAAGAGAGACCCAAAGCATTTTTTTCCTCAACTTTGAACCTTTAAGCATATGGTATCCTTCCATAGCCCTAATGATAAAAGGACATCATTTTATATTTTAAAATAAAATGTAATGATAAATAAAATAAAGTAGTTTTTTTAAAACAACTTACTTATCTAATAATTGTTTAAAATCTGCAGGAGGAGGTTTGTGCATCGAACAAATGCATACAGATATATTGTCCATAGGACAAATAATCAGAAGTTACCAATGAACACTGCATTGAGAAACTATCAGTAATAGACAATACATTTTTTAATAATTTATAATCAATTATATACAAATATACTTACTTAGAAAAGTAAGGAACTAAGTAAACTTTTTTATTTGATTCAGACATCCAATTTTGAATGTAAGCTTGAATTTCTTCTATCTTGTTCCCAATTTTTTGGATTAACTCGGGTTCCAAAAATCCAAGTTTCCTACATTTAAATTAACAACAAGTTAATACATATTGATACCAGTTGCAACACATGGCATCTCGACAGGCAAGCGTACACGAAGGGTCACAGCCACTTGACGAGCTCGGTCTTAACTCCTCGACCTACGGTCTTCGGAGCTCGGGGGGCTCGTGTACTATCCGTACTGCTATGCCGAGCTCGAGCTCGGCATAACAGCGCAGGAAGACCTCAGACATGCGCTGGGAAGATCTCGGCCTAGACGAGATTCGCTATCTAATCAGATCATAACTGATCTCAGACCCAAGGCCCAACGAAACCCTAATTCACACCAAGGTACTTGCGTTACTTATACGAGACTCATACTCCCACAAACACTAACTTTGGCATCGGAGTCTCTTTTGCAGGTACCACCCCCATCTTGGAGCACAACCCGTACGAGTGAAAGAGGCTCACCGATCTTACTTGGCGGATCATCTCTACAGCAGAATATTAAATTAGTTAAATATAATAAATAATACTTTATAATAAAATACATGTATATTTAGATATTTATTAAAACATTTTATTAGTAACATAAATTAAATAATATCTTAATACTCATGTATCACCTTTAATATAAATAATTAATAAAGCCCCAAGCGTGTGGTTCAGCGGTAGGTTGATCCACGCTTAAGTAAGGTCAGAAATTCGAATTTTGTCTTGTGTATACAGTCGCGTTAAATCTTGAAGCCAACTATCCCACTCTTTGAGGTGCCTCCTACCTAGCGAGTATCCCACTCTTTGAGGTGCCTCCTACCTAGCGAGAAGATTAGTCACTGCTATTGATGGTAGATACTCTAGAGACGAACAAAAAAGAAATATAAATATAATGAAATATTATTTTATTTTATTTTTTAAAATATTACATTAATTATATTGATTAGATACTATTTTGTACGTTTAATTTTATTATACTTATATATATATATATCATTTTTAATTTTATCAATACTATTTTGTGTTTGATATTATTATACTTATATATTATTTTCATTTTTATTTTTTTTGAACTAATGACGCTTTTCTATTTTAACAAATATAAATGTTATATTTTAACAAGTTATACGAAAAAAAATAATTTATCCCTTGATTTGTATATTTAATTATTATTTAAAAATTATTACAAATTTTCTAAAATTAATTATATATTTAAAATAAATATTCTAATTATAAAATATTTTTAAAGTTATCAAAATAAAAATCATGCATATAAAGTATAATAAATTCGTAAACATGTATTAAAATAATATTTAATTAATGTAATTAATTTCATGTTTTATAAAAATTTAAATAAATAATATTTTTATTATATAGTATTAATTATATTACCTAAATAAACCAGTGTTTTCTTATTAAACATTATTTATCATATTTAATAAATATAATATTAAAATAAATATATTAAACACAATTTTTATAAATATATTTATATTATAAATATAATATTAAATATAATATAATTATTACAAAATTTACTAATTTATATATACAAATAGATATATTGAAATACATATAATAATAATTAGTGCACATATATAATTTATTTAATTATTATTTGATAAGTTATTTTGAATTTAATTATATGTTTATATTTTTTATCAAGTGATTAAATGACAATGAATTAAAAATATTTCAAAATTTATTTTAATTAAAATTATATTTAAAATATTATAATGAATACTTGATAGAATGTTATGTTAAATATTTTAAATTATATATTTTAATATAATAATTTACTCTATATTTTAATATATGAAAGAAAAATAATATAATATTTATATTTTTTCAGGAAAGAGAAACATAATTTACTTTAATATCATCAAGTTAAATAAATTAAATTGTATATTTTAATATAAGAAAGAAGAACAATGTAATACCTTGTTATTGAGAAGAAGATATCGTAATTTAGTTAATAACAAAATGTATGAGAGATAAAAAGTGCTTTTGAAAACAAACGATAAAATATTTAACAAAATATATACATAAAACAATATATCATCTTTATCAATAATATAGATAATTAAATTTTTATTTCATGAGTTAATACTAGTATATAATGAGACAATGACACTAAGGTCCAACAAGGCAAAAACAAACTTCCAATTTGTGTGATAAAATTAATATTTGGTTGTTTAACTTAAATTTTGTTTTTAAAGTTGGTGCACAATATAAGGTTAGAGGTGTTGGGTGTGGCCTCCCTAGTCCCTAGCTCCTTGCAATGTATAGAGAGGCCCAATATACATTACAAGTCCATTTGTGATTTTTTGGAAGGGTGAAATACAGGAAGTTGAGAGAGAAGAGGCAAATTTTTTACTTTTCACATGAACAAGGCAGTCTCCATCAAAATGCAATTGCATACTTATCAATCGTCAAATCATGCTGTAGCTTTGTGACATTGTTTCAATGGTGGAGCTCGTGATATGTTTCCTATGGACTCATATGTTATACATCTTTTTTATTTATTTATTTCTTTTAATTCTTGAGATTCCTCACTCCCTTATAACTTATATTGCTTTAGTTGTACCAGTGGCATATCAATTTTTTTATTTAACTATATTTATTTATTTATTTATTTTAGTAACGTTATATTTTTTTTTATTTTGTAATGAGAATTAAAAATTTAAAAAGTAATAATTTTTAAATATATAACTTAAAAACAAATTAAGTTCCAGAAATAAACATAATTTGAAATAAATTAAAAGTCTAAGATGTTTCTTAATAAGGAAGGTAATGAGGCGTTTAAATTTAAGGTCAGGATTAATTTGAAGAGTGAAAGGTGTATATAAATTTCGAAATAAGCTCCGAATAAGCCGCAAAAGATCTCCTCACTGACTTAATTAAAAACCACTTTTTTTTATTTTTACACATTTTGTTACGTGAAAATAAGTTGCTTATATTTTAATTTCTTTTAGGAAAAATGTTTGGTTCTACTATTTTTATGGTGAAGAAAAACTCAATAAAAAGTTGGGCCAAATCCATTACAAGACTATTTTAATACATTCTACAGGAGAACTATGCTTGAGTGCAGTAATTAAAAATATTGAGACAAGAATTCTATTCGATTATTTAACATATCATATCATATGTACATACTCACTTATAAATAATATCTCTTATCTTATAAAATTATTATTGTTATTATCTCTAGCATTAATACTATTATTGTGTCGTCACCCTGGTAAACATTATCATAATCATAATCTTTATCATCATTAATTAATAATAATAATAATAATAATAATAGTAATAGTAATAATAATTGTCTCATTAAAATTATTAAAATTGAATTTTAATCTTAACATATATTTTATAATTAAAATTTAACTACAATCATTAAGCGTTCTCATTTTAATTGATTCTTAATTAATATTTATCCTATTTACATATTTTTATATTATAATTCAAGTACAATCATTAACCGTTCTCATTTGATTATTAATATTTATCCTATTTAGAAATAATATTTCCGTTTTACAAATAGATACGACAAATTTTAATTTTATTTTAATTAATTTTTTTTAAAAATTTATCTATTTTACAAATAATTATTATTGTTTATATTAAGTTAGATTTAAAAATCTTAATTATCTTACGCAAAAAAGACTTAAATGTTTTAAATGGCAATCACTCATTAGTATTTTTCTTTTGTTACAATTCATTTTTATATATATTAAAATATAATAAAAATAAAAATTTAAAAAGAAAATAATATGTTAGTAAGAAACATTATAAAAGTCTTTATTTGATTCTTATAATTCTAAAATTATTATGATTTAATGTTTGAATAAGTGATTTATAAAA